TCTACATCTGTTGTCCGCCCAAAACACATTCCTCAACCTAGAATCCTCATCCAAGTCCATACTGATATAAAAACTCGGACTGCATGTTTGTATTTTCTAGAAGTAAGCATGTAATATAGCAATATCTCCTTCACCAAGTCTTAAACGCCGCACTTTATTAACGAAATTCCTACAGTCTTTTTCAACACAAGTCATGTTTTCAAATCCACCCGCTCCACTATAGTTGAGTTATAGCTTTTATGCAATGGGATTCTCGTTATATCGTTGACTTCAAGCCTTCTTTTGATATGTGCATTAAGTTCACGATTGCATCGATATAACCTAGCAATCATTGGTAGAGGCTTCAAAGAAATACTCTTACGAATCTTTCTTCCGCCTTCTCGACGACAAGTAAAAATCACATATCGAATAACCCCATCATCACCCTTCTTAGTGTTTCTTTTTCTAACACGAAACCCTATTTCATAAGATTTTATAGAATTCAAATAAGTCCTTCAAGCTGTCAAGTTTCATACCAACCTTTGGAACGATAATCTCATTTTCAACTCCTAACATATCATCAAGCAAACAATCATTACCCACAACCTCCAACAAGTTCACCTCCATTCCTGTAAGCAAGCAAGTAAACAGTTCATATTTATTTTTTCCATGACTAATAAGCTTAAGGAAAGATGCAGATCATTTTCACACATTTAATTAACTGCAATTTCATTTCAGCTCAAAAAACTGCATTCCAATTGAAATGGCAGTAAGTTTTACCACTGTTAGCATTGCCTTCCACCATATAGTCGCACCCCTGTTCAGTTTCACCATTGTTGTCGTCCACGCCATCGACTTCATTGCTGTCCATATCGGTAAGCCTCCAAAAAATGCATTGCTACTGGGAGAAGCTACAGATCCGAGTGCTACTGGAAGAAACTAGCTACATAATTGATCGTTGTTGGACGACTTTTCATTCACCAGCGTCGGTACCGGAAAGCATGACAAAGTTCCAAGCTACTGGATTGAGAGTTGTTTAAGAGCTTCCCTCTTTCTAGTCGTCTTCGAAGAGGGAAATGTAAAGAAACGAGGTTTTAATTTTGGGACTTTTGGCTATTAAAAAAAAAAATCAACGAGATTTTGAACCAAAATCTCGCCACATCAGCAATTATGGATACCTTGATGTATAGTCTCATATACAAGTAGGAATTTCCATTATTTAATATAGGAAAGTAAATGATGCATGTTTGGATGAGTAAATAAATAAATAAATTTATTAAAATAAATAAATTTGGGCAATTTGCTTATTCTGAAGTGAAAATTACACAGTTGGTCCCAAAACCTATACACTTTGTTGCACTTCTGTATCTAATGTACATTTCTGGACAAAGTGGTTCCACCCTTTCTATTTTGATGTGCCATGGTCCTTGGTAGTCATGGCAACGAGCCGAAACTCAAAACTCGGGCTCGGCTCAAGCCAGAAAGGGTTGAACTTTTTTTGGCCCAAGCCGAGCAAAAACTTGGCCAAAAAAAGAGGCTCGGCCCAAGCTGGTTCAAAAATTTTTTTTTTTTAACTTACATGCATATAAAATAGCTGCATGCTTGTGCATATAGCTATTAGCTTTATTATTTATTTATTTATTTATTTCTAAAAAATGGGCAGCTTGTACAGGCCGAAACGGCCCGTGACATGAGCAGGCCCAGCTCAGGCCGACACCCCAAAATGTGGCTCCCAAGCCTCGGCTCGGGCTTTTTTTGGGCTGAGCCCCTGTCGTTCGAATCAACGAGTTTTTTATTTTTTGCCATCCCTAGTCCTTGGCGAAGATTCCTTCCATTTGATTGTTAAAATATCAAATTTTCTATAAAAAGACTATTTTATCATTACTTTAACTAAAATAATTAAGAGTAACATAAAAATGGAAAAAAGAAAAGGATAAAGTATACGAAGTAAATAAACTTCCTTCATCAATAACTTTTTCCTAATTCTATTTTCCTTTTTCTTTTTTATTTATCATACTTAAAATCAGTATTCTGAAAGGCAGTGCCTAGATTTGAAGCGGGATTAAAATGCCTCACTTCGCCTTTGTTTTTTTTTTACGTCTTTCAACGCCTTTTTTTTTTTACGTCTTTCAACGATTTTTTCTTTAATTATTACATAATTGTTAAATTGATTTAAAAACTTCAAATAATATTAAAATAAGAAAAACGCTTTCTTTCTTTTTTTTTACGCCTTTTAACGCTTAGATTTCACTTATGGTCCTCTAGACCGGAGCTCGACCTTCACGCTTCGTCAAACTTTATACTTTTTAGGGCACTGCTTAAAATAAAGGTATAAAAGTTTTTTAAATAAAAATTTTACTTTTTAATTGTCAAGTCGACCGTGAGAATGTGTATAGGTTGACAATCAAGGGGTAAAACTTTCCCTACTTGAAAATATTGGTAATTTCCATTGTTGGATAGTATCTGTCCGTCGAATAAATTTATTTGTATTCGTGATCTGAAAGATAAAATATCAATTATATTTTCTATAATTGTTCTATTAATTGAAATTTCATTTGTTTATGAATCGATTTGATATTTTAAATCGAGTTCTTAAGTTGTTCATCAAGGGAAATTTAGATTATAATCAATCTAAGTTTTATTGTCCACAATCGATAAATAAAGATGAACATTTTATTTTGATAAGATTATTTCGATTTTATTAAAATTCATCTTTCCCTTCGGTAATAAGATTGAGCGTGCATTTTGGAATGTATTGAACCGGACAATGTGAAATTTAATTTGTAAAATTGACTGCACGAATTTTAATTCACTTGATTGTTGTACCTATGATCTCAATTCTAAGCGGATAGTGAACTTTAATTAATAACTTAAAAGTTCTTTGAAATATCAAACGGTGATAAAATCAATGATTCAATGTTTCGGTACCTTCAAATTAAAGTGAAATAACAGAAAATATACATTCGCGATATGGAATTTGTAACCTATTTAATAGGTACAATTATAATATTAAAAGGTTTTCTAGTGGACAGCTAAATCAGAGCTCAGTAATTCGACATTGATTGTTGAATTCGTATTGTGATGTGAACATTTGAGATTGTTAGATCGAAAATGGAATTCGAAGACTTATGTATATTTTGAAAAATACATTTTGATCATTTTATCTTGCTTCAAATATTCGACAACAAGGAAATATGTACTTATAATATCAAAGATCAATTAAGATTTTTATTGGGATAAAGTTAATTTTACAATGTTAGATGTCACATGGCATGTTGTCAACAAAATTGTCATTTAATGTTGTACACCAAGCATGATTATTTTTATTATTATGTCTAGAAATATAAAATCTCTATAGTTTTGAGTTCTTGAAGAATATTTAAGAAGGCCAAAGAGTTTGAGGATAAAATTGAAAATATCAAACCAAAATAATATTTCTTTTTTGTAAACACGATACAAAAGTAAATTTTAAAAGGTGTATTGGCACAAAATGTCCATATATTTGGTCTTTAGTGTGCAAAATGTCCATGTATTTCAATTTCTTGCATTTTCACCCATATTTCTATGTTTCATTGTAGAAAATATCATTTTGTACGTCTGTTGTTAGTTTTACCATTAAATGCACACTTTGACTCAATTTTATTTTTAAAAAAAATGGTAAAATGGTCATGCCACTTCAAATAAATAAATAAATAAAGAGGGTCTTCTTTCGATAAGAGCATAACAAACATGCACACTCACACTTTTTCCTTTAGAGATCTCAACCCTTTACGTCCCTCTTCTCCTATCATCTCAGAATTGTCATTTTGCCGTGGACTACTGTATGCACGCAATGGGCAAACTGGGAGAAGGTAATTTCTTGCAGTGGGTTGGGGGTTTTTATTTTTGTTTTACAGTTTATTTGTGAATTGTAATTTCTCTATAAATCTCTTTTGTTGATATGTATGAATGAACAAAATAATAGCCAAAATGTGTCTGAATGTCGTGATTTTTTGTTGCTAGAATAGAATATATAATCATGCTGAACTATTTTGGTTGTGACTATCTTCTCTTGCTAAGTTCTTTTGTTCAACAGTTGTATTTGTTGTGTTTATTGATGTCTCAATTTATGAATTTAATTTGTTGTCTTTAAATTGTAATTTGATTAGCGCGTTGAGTTACTGTGATTGATCAATATACTAAGTTGTTGTGTTAGACATGATCAGTACAGGATAAGGCAAACGATTTTCACGTAGACATGAAACGTATGGACATTTTGTGCAAAATATGTTGAAACGTAGGGACCTTCAAAACGTAGTTTTACGGGATGCCTTTCTTTTTGGCACAGAACGGGACACCGTGCGGCATTAGTCTGCTCCATTAGACCACCTTCCGCCTTCTCTCGATCTTTTCGGGACAAAAGACAATTGATTACAATTTGTAGAAAATTTGCAGCATGAAATTGAAATGCATTGAAAGTAAATTGATCATTAATTGATTGAAAGTTAGAAATTACAATTGATGAAAGCATGAAATTACAATGGCTAGTGCAAGGGCGATCATCAGAAAGCTTAAAACCTAAGTGATAGGAGTAGTCGTTTAGATGTCGAGAAATCATACTAAACGTTGTTCAATATCACAGTTATTTTACAATTGAAATAAAATATCTACAATGTGTGGTCAAAGTTGGGCAAATTGCGGTTGCGATGAGGTCAAGGGACTAGTTGAAGCTGCGGTCCTTGACACGTAGAGATGTTTTATGCAAAGCCTTTTGAAATATAGGGACGTTTTTAGCAAAACTTGTTGAAATGTAAGGACGTTTTGCACATGTTCAATTTCGGGGGAAAAAAATAGATTCATAGCTCCAAATTTGATGCAGAATTTTGGGAAATTGAATTTTATGATTTTTGATATCGATTTGCTGTGAAGAGTAACTATGGATGAGAGCAAGTATGGAAGCGACAAATGGAAAATGCATCAGCCTGAGTGATGATGAACAGTGGACTTAAAACAACAAATGCGCTGCTATTTTAGAATTATGATTTTATACACAGTATTTCAAATTAAAAAACTTGATTTTGCTTCATTTGTTTGATTAATTTTCATGCTTGCTGCCATTTCAAAGTTTCTTTATACATTACTGCTTAAATTCTATTTTTATTTTTATTTTTTTGCTTGTGAATAACTTGTTTATGGTGGAAAGAAGATTTTCTTTTTTTTTCCTCTTTTTTTTTAAGTGACCTGATCATTTTACCCTTCTTGTTTTAAAATAAAATTGAGTCAAGGAATGCATTTAATGGTGGGACTAACAGTGGATGGACAGAATGACGTTTTTCAAACATGAAAATATGGGTGAAAATACAAAAAATTGACATGTATGGACGTTTTGCACACTAAAAGCCAAATATGTGGATGTTTTATGCCAATAAGCCAGTCTAAAAGTATCCACATGTTTTGAAAATATTTATAAATAATTTAAAGTATAAATAAATAAATTATAGAGAAATGAACAATAGATAATTTGAAATGAGTGTATAAAAAGTAACTTGATTTTGTATTGGATCAGAATCCGAAATAATCCTTATAACAAATAATGATGTTGAATATGTTAAAGAGGCCCATCATATGTCCCTCGTGCAGCCCAATCCTGCCTCCGTTCTGCAACAAATGAGAATGACAGACAAGGACAACAACACTCTCTCACTCTATAATTATAATCCAATTTTATTAGCTCAACTCATGGGCACACTGCGCTCACTAACACCCGAGTAAAGCCGCTTGTAATTTTGCTACAAATTTCCTATTTCAACACAGAGTTATCGATCTGGGTGGTCTTTTCCTACTTTTGTCTATTATTCCACTGCCTTAAAGGTATGAACATTCTAGCTTTATTTTCTCTTTAACTTTTCTACTTTCTTTATCTTCTTTTCCTTTTGGAATATTTTTTTTTTGTATTTCTGGAACTTTAGAATAATATGCAATGCATTTTCTTTGATTTGATGCAATTACTTCAGGTATATTATATTGATTAGTAAATTCTTGATGTGATGTTCAGATTAATAATATGAAGATTTAATTTCTTTTGATCCAGTTTCTTGAAATCTTGATCCATCGAGAATATTTACTATTTCTTTATTTTTTGATTGATTTTGTTCCTTTCAGTGTGTACCGAAGATAATTTCTGTTGTTGGTTCCATAATTAAATTGACTTGCATTTCAATTATTTTGGTTTTTTTATAAAAATTATTGTGGAATTTCTGGATTGTAGGAATCAAATTACTGTCTTAACAGGGTTAGGTTAGTTGTATTCTGGAAGCAAGATGCTTCTTGACTTCTAGTCTTAATGCACATTTTATTTTGTTTTGGGTGTGCTATTTAATGGTTTGTTGGTACATAGAATTGGATAGGGAATTAGGGATTGAGCATTATTAAAGAAGAAGAAAAAGAAAGTATCTTGTTCATTACAATGTCTAGTTGTGTTAAGTATTGCATATCAAACTTGCACTATATTTCTTTTAGGTGTTGACCTCTCTTTGAAAGACAGTATACATGGGCATGATTGGGAGGTAAGCGAGGAAAGAATTAGAGAGAAAGAAGATGTCGAGCAACAGAGGTACGCATTGGTGTTTTAGTTGCAGGGAACCCGTAATTCTTCAGAGACAATCATTGTGCCCCAACTGTGATGGAGGTTTCGTTCAGGAGCTTGACGATATGTTGAGCACGACTACTGAAAATCTTGATCAAAGGCCGAGGTTTATGGAAGCTGTGTCGAATTTTCTCAGACAACAAAGGACTGTTAGAAGCAACTTGACTGTCGGCAGAGGGAGATCTGAAGGGGGTCCTCTGAATGGTAACTCATGGAATTCGCTCCTAGTTTTTAGTGGTGATATGCCAGTTAGGTTGCCTGGGAGTGGTGGGCTCTTAGAGTTTCTTAATGATGCTCTTGGATTTAGACGAGACAATGGTGGCGACTATTTTATTGGTCCTGGAGTGGAAGAGTTTTTCGAGCACATTACGAGCAACAATCAAAATGTTCCTCCTCCAGCTTCAAGATCCTTCATTGATGCTCTACCAACAATGAAGATTACAAAAAAGTATGTCCGTTCTGATTCAACCTGCGCTGTTTGTAAAGAAAAATTCGAATTGGGTTCACAAGTGACAAAGCTACCATGCAAACATCTATACCACTTGGATTGCATTGTTCCGTGGCTACAACAACGCAGTTCATGCCCAGTTTGTCGCCAGGAGCTAACTCCTCAGCAATTAAGCAACGAGTGCAATAATTACCGTTCTAGAGAACAAAATAGGAGCTGGAGTAGGAGATTTGGTAGTCGAGAGGACGGAACTGAGAATCCAGGCAGGAGGAGGAGATGGTCTTTCTTGTGGCCTTTTGGATCGTCTCACTCCAGCTCTAGCCATAATGGAACAGCCGAACCTAGTTCAGTCGTCTACCCGTGAACATAACCAACATGGAGAGAACTCGTATTGGCCTTTTGAATATTAAGATCAATCAGTTTCAAGAATTTCCTGCTCAGTAATTCCTTGTAATCATAATGTTCCACCTCTAGTTGAACAACTATATCTCCTGTGGAAAAAAGTGTCCATTCATAATTTCGAATGAGTGGATTTTGTTTCATAATTGCCAATAAAAAATGCCCTCAAAACGTGTTTGCATTTTTTATTCTCATCATAACTGTTGTACTGCTCTGTACTTGTATATCCATTGTTGACTGCTTTTCTGTCTGTGTTACAAAATATCCTGTTTCTCCAAGCTTTTTTCCGTTTAGCTTTTCAAGTCCTCTCACTCCAATACAAACTGATATACTTTTTTCTCATTCCATTGAGTCATGGGTTCTGCAGTGTACACCGGAGTGTCAAAAGTAATGACCCCGGTGTAGAATCCCCCACTTATAGTAGGAGGTTAATGATTTTTTTATAGCGCATGGGGTGCGTACATCGGAGTACAAATAGCAAAACCCTTGCGTCATTACTAGTTTTACTGAAAGATCAGACCCCAAGATCCAATGCAGTGATCATTGGTGTGGAATCCCAACAGAATATAATAAATATTGGCATAACACGATTTGACAAACTAGTAGCCAATCTAACCCTACTTAACAATGGAACATGGCCAGCATCCCATACAATAACAAAATGTGCATTAAGATTCATATTTTAAAACTTACAAAGATTTAAGTGAACTATCTGTTGACCTATGGTTGTGATCTCATTCTAATTATCACAAACAAATTGCGTTTATTTCTAACAAATTGATTTCGAGTGTCTACAGTGATTATTGCAAATCAATAAAATTGAAGACACGAGGTTTAAGACCAAGAAATTTGTATGCAACGATCGACATGGAAACAAAATTGATCACCCGAGGCTATGAAGATTGATATTGAAAAACTCGTTAAAAGANCGAGTGTCTACAGTGATTATTGCAAATCAATAAAATTGAAGACACGAGGTTTAAGACCAAGAAATTTGTATGCAACGATCGACATGGAAACAAAATTGATCAAACAGAGGCTATGAAGATTGATATTAAAAAGCTCGCTAAAAGATATCTCAACAAGAATCGAGATAAAAGTCGAAGTACGTTCAAGCATGTACGTCAAGACGTTCAAAGAGTTTAGACGTTTTACAATCATATGTAAAGTTAAAACATTTCAATACTTAGCAATGAATCAAGACGAGCTTAAGTTTTGATTTTACGATCAAAAAATCAGGACAAAAACGTTCCACTCGTAAATTATTTTTTCAAAGGTAAAAATCACAAAACGTAATTTTTGTAATATAACAAATACCTTCAAAAATCATTTTTAAACGTCCCTCGAGTATTTACATTTATTAAAAATGAAAACGAGGCCGTTTCGGGCATAAAACTGTTGTACCGGACGTCCGGTACAAAATAGCTAGTTGATTGTTCAACGATAAAAATTTTTAGCACCAACGATAAAAAATTCAAACGTTCTAATTTTTTGACAAAATAGCTAGTTGACCGTCGATATGTGGCGGATATCCGGTACACTGCGTCCGGTTCGACAGAGTTTTTGACGATTTTTCACCTATAAGTGAGCATTTATTGAGATAAATCATTGGTCTTTACTATTTACTCATCCATATAAATTGATTTACATTTGAAGAACTTTTGATTATTTTAAACTTAGAAAATCATTTTCATCAAAGTTTTTTTATATCCAACACTTGAGTTATATTCATTGCTATCTATTAAAATGTTTGCACTAGGGCTATCCGTGGGTCGGGTCGGTTCGGTTCTGAAGAGACCCGAACCGACTCAAAACTTTCGGATATTTAATAAATGGACCCGTCGGGTCCAAATATAAATATATAATCGTTCGGGTTCGGTTCGAGTCTGTTCGGTTCCGTTCGGTTCGGNCGTCAATTTACTGTTGAGCTAGTGTTGACTTCTCGTTTTGATTATCACAAACAAATTGCGTTTATTTTTAACAAATTGATTTCGAGCGTCTACAGTGATTATTGCAAATCAATAAAATTGAAGACACGAGATTTAAGGCCAATAAATTTGCATGCAACAATCGACATGAAAACAAAATTGATCAAACGGAGACTATGAAGATTGATATTGAAAAATTCGCTAAAAGATGTCTCAACAAGAATCGAGATAAAAGTCGAAGTACGTTCAAGCATGCACATCAAGACGTTCAAAGAGTTTAGACGTTTTACAATCATATGTAAAGGTAAAACATTTCAATACTTGGTAATGAATTGAGACGAACTCAAGTTTTGATTTTACGATCAAAAAATCAGGACAAAAACATTCCACTCGTAAATTATTTTTTCAAAGATAAAAATCACAAAACGTAATTTTTGAAATATAACAAATACCTTCAAAAATCATTTTAAACGGCCCTCGAGTACTTACATTTGTTAAAACGATGATGTTTCGGGCATAAAACTACCGTACCGGACGTCCGGTACAGTAGCGAACATCTGGTATGGAAGTTTTAGCACCAACAGTCGAAAATTCAACTGTTTTGGTTTTCTAACAAAACGGCTAGTTGACCGTCCGATATGTGGCGGATGTCCGGTACACTACCTCCTATTTGGCAGAGTTTTTGACGATTTTTCATATATAAATACCAACTCACTTTGCATTCAATAGTAACTATCCTAAGAGCAATAAGTGAGCATTTACTGAGATAAATCCTTAGTCTTTACTATTTACTCATCCATGTAAATCAATTTACATTTGAAGAACTTTTGATTATTCTAAACTTAGAAAATCAATTTCATCAAAGTTTTTCATATCCAACACTTGAACTATATTCATTACTATCTATTAAAGTGTTTGCCATCTTCTCTTCTTGCTCTCAACTTTGAATATATTATTCACTAAGAAGAGAAGATTTCACTTGTAACTCTTTTGAATCGAGGGTCATATTAAGATCCTGTAAAGTTCAATAGTTTGGTTCGTGTAGAGGTCCCGTAAAGATCAATATTGTAAAAAGATCGGTGCTCCTTGTTTGAAAGTCACTAGAAGTGTTGTAAACGGTTGAATTGCACCATAAGTCAATCACGATAGTAGAAAAGGTCTTGTTTGTGACGAAGCGTTCAGTAACGAGGGACATCGATCAAGTTTAGGATTAAACCTACGTAAATATATCGTTTGCATCTTCTCTCCCTTTTACTCGTCGCTTTTATACGTATATTTGTGTAAATACCTGTTCTTTACTCATAAAAGTCAAAACTATTTCCGAGATTCAAGGTGTGTTTTGATGGATATTATTAAGAAAATAATATATTTTAAATAGTGATATAATGAGAAATATGTAGTTAAAAAGTAAGGAAAATTTATTAATATGATTAAAAATATTATTTTATTGAAGAATGTGTGGTTAAAAATGAATTTTGAAAAAATGTGTACCAAAGAGAGGCTCAATCTCTTCCTCTTCGAGTCAACAAATTGAGGTCTAGAGAAAATATTAACAAGATAAAACATATCGTGGCAGCCCACATACTAATATAAGCATGAACTGAAAACTACAAATAAAAGAAATAAAAAGCACAGCAATTTGGAAATCGATAGTTCATCATCTCAAGCACGTTCATATGAAAAAGTTACTCAACTTCAAAACACAATGTAAGTAACATGACACTCTAAAAAAGGTAAATGAGCTGACACAAAGTTTTTTCTAGTTTGTGAGCTCCATGATAGCAGAAACGATGTCTCCATCAGACTCCTTGAGAGCTTTGACTGCCCGAGCTCTTGAAACCCCAGCTTGAGTCATCACCAGCTCTATATCCTTTGGCTCAACACCAGTCTCGTCGACATCTTCATCATCCTGAGCAACTGTCACGGGTTCGGGTTTTGGAGCTATATTGCTGATATTAGGAGCCTTGAACTGCTCGGCAGCTTGAGTCTGCAACTGTGAACTCAAGTCCTCAATCTTTGCCTCGCCAAAGATGATGTATGTGTCTGAATTGGGGCTCTTGAAAACATCTGGCTTTGAGATGACAAACAGGATCTGAAACATAAATATTGGAAAAACTTAGTTGTCAGGTAAGATTATGGTCAGAATGGGGGACATTCGAAAAGCCAATCAGAAATTAACTATCAAAGAGAACCAGTGAAAAGACTGACGTTCTTGCTCTTCTTAACAGTAACACGGCTGACCCCAGGGATGGGCTTCATTCCTAGTTTCAGCATAGCCTTGCGACTCTTTTTCTCACTCCGGCTCTGCTTTGACCTACCACTAGCATCTCCTTCTCCTGTCAAGAGTTATCAGTATTTTATTCATTATTAAAAACACAATTATGCTTCAACTTTTAGGAAGGACTGGAAGTTATAATAAATAGTCGAGATTTTAGCTCGCACATACACAGAATTCGAACTAATCAAACCAGGGTTAATTCCTGGAAATGTAAGAACAGGTTTGGTGGGTATATTTACTCAATTTTGAACCCTAATTTTCTGCCTACTAGTAAAATCCAATTGTGAGTTTCCCTTATTAAACAAAGAGGCAACAGAGAGAGGCCTAATCAAATAAGGAACAACTTCAGTGCATATGATTTCCATAAATCAAAAAACTCTTGAGTTAAGAGTTCAGTGCATATGATTTCCATAAATTCATGAGGACGCTGAAACCAATTAACAATCATTTTAGTGGATGTATCCAACAGACTACATTAATGTCCCACAACTTTGACTTCCATACATTGAGCTCAGTAATAGAATACATGTGATGGATCTATAAATCAAGAATTCTCAGTACCAGGAGCAAAGAATCAGTCACGAGTCATGGTAATAAACATACCTTCAGCACCTTCTTCATGATCATCCTCTTCATCCTCTTCTTCATCTTCATCATCATCATCCTCAATTACTGGCTCCTCCTGCTGCAAAAATAATTGTAACTCAATAAAGATTCTATTTTTTTGCTGCACGTGTCCTTTTCTGCTAATAGAGGGAAGGGGAAGCTGGAGTTAATTATATCATACAACACAGGCAATTACTTGAAGGCAATCAAATGAGAGGTCTACATAGTTCCATCATTAGTACCTCACCCACCCCTGGGGCATGTATAGGAACATGAATGAAATGTTCCTTGAACTCAACATAGAGCACTGAATTGATTCCATCTAACCATTATTAGAGTGCAAAGAACAATATAAGCATCACTCATATATATACGTTAAAGACGATGACCATTTGCAAATCTTTATATGGCATTAACCAGATAACAAAGCACTTTGCAATTGCAGAATTGACTTCAACAGATCCTTTAGAGTGAAGCAACTGAAATAGCTATTAAAATACAGCAGGCATGGAAATGTCAACTTAGGATATTCGTTCCCAATGTGCTTAGTCCTCCTCAAAGTATTGACAGGCAAAATAAGAAAAAACATTGAGCATATTGAATAAGATAAATTATTTATGAAGATGCCATACAAATCCAAATCAAGAAACAGCAGATTGTTTTGTCATGACAATATAATGATAATAAGATGTCACCCTATGGTCTATGTAAGACCCACAAATACTATATAATACAAATAAGAGTGTAATAAGATAGATGTATGTTATCTTGGGCAATTGCTAGATTTTCTTTTGCAAACAATAAATTAATGGACATAGATTGATTCACGACAGTAGGCATGCTTTATCCTTTTTAATCTAGATTATTTTCCAACAAAAAACAAGCAATTGTCCTTTTGGACAGCATCAATAAAACATGAGATTCATTTTCATATGCCTTTTGTACAATAATACAAGAAAATCAGGGTGTGCATTAGACATGGAGCAGATATTAGAAGCTGTAAGGCTACCATCGTAGAATTAGACACGTTTAATATGAAAATTGCAATAATATGTTGCATAGCATTTTTGCGTTAACTTATCCTACGGGGTAATTTCTCCTGTGATCAATGTGATTCTATAACAGAGTAAAAGCTCAATGATGCTCATATTGAATTTCAAATTACAGAAAATATTTAGTTTTTAATCTTGTGACAAGTGTTATGCATGTTACGAAAGCAAGGTTAAGAGCATGTTGGCTAAACTTAAAATCCAATTAAAATTGAAAATATATCCGTTATTGGGTCTCACTCGTCAAATAAAAGTCAACAATAACGACTAGTTTTTCAATTTTAATTCAATTTTAATCTCTACCGAACACGCCCTAAATAAGATAATAGTTAATGAATCCATCCAATAAATAAATTGTGGTATCATTTGAAATTTCATATTTACTACTCTTAAGATTCAT